TGCATTCAGAGATGTCACATCAGGAACACAAGTCAGCCATCATGGGGATATTTACACCATGGAATTGATAAACACTGCGCATCACGGCTTGACTTATTGCTTTGTTAATTGTCTAGACTTCAGAAACCAGTGGAGAATATCTTAATAAGGCAGATTAAATTTAAATGTGTGTCATGTCTGCAGCCATTTCATTTTAAAGAACACAAATGAAGAAGTATTCTTCCAGCATTTGAAAACCATTATCCAATTCAGCAAAGAAGGAGCTCATGTCAGTGACAATCAGAGGAGCTCTGACATATGTCTTCATTGTTTCATTTTCATCCCACTTAATGTAAATAACTAGCATTTATGTAAGAATTACACTCATTCATGATTGCAACCATAGTTTGGCTACAAATATGAGTTGGACAAAAATCTTTGAAACATTCTGTGAGGATCAGTTGGTTCTTTGAAATTTACAATAAAAAGTATTGTATATTTCATTATTTGCAAATTTTGTGCTATACAACCTTTATATCCAGAAAACGTATAATAAACAAAAACATATATGCAACTTTTTTTCTCCAGAGAGCTGATTGCTCAATATTTAATAGCATGTCACTCATGGTGATCATGTGTGGTATGATATGGGAGTAAAATATTATATGTTCTTCTTTGTAAATATGAACTAGATTGTACTTCTCTTTGCGTTAATGCCTGTCTTGAGACACAGGCATGTGTGTCTGATTCAGTGGCCAGGAAGGACTGTTGCTTTGTTTTATTCTTTACCTCTCCCAAACTTGGAAAGATCTAGACTACTCTGGACTCTTCTGCAGAATCCTCCCTCCACTTCCCACCCAATGATAGTATTAGTGAGTCTAAATGACTCCTGTTTGGGAAAATGGACCATGAAGAATCCCTATGCTGGCGGAGGAGTGAAGGTATTACAGACTTACCCCATGGAAGCTTGAAGAACATACAGCATCATGGGGCGCCTGGGTGGCTCAGTCATTAAGCATCTGCCTTCGGCTCAGGTCATGATGTAAGCGTCCTGGGATCCAGTCCCGCATCAGGTTCCCTGGGCTCCCTGCTCAGCGGAGAGCTTGCTTCTCCCTCTCCCACTCCCCCTGCTTGTGTTCCCTCTCTCACTGTGTCTATGTCAAATAAATAAATAAAATCTTTAAAAAAAAAAAAAAAAGAAGAAGAAGAAGAACATACAGCTCCTGAAAGGGACCTGAACACAGGGAAGAAGGCCAGAAATGGGGTGTGTCCATCAGGTGACTCCACCAGAGAACTGAACTTGGAGTGGTAGCAGAGTGTTACCACTGAGGGTGGTTGGCCTTACTTCTGAAGTCACATCCTATTTTAGGGGACCGGGCCAGGAGTTCCAGAGCAAAGTGGAAAGGTGGGCATGAGGTCCTCAGAATTAACGGATTCAAGACAAATGGGAAAGCTACCCTTCCCTTCCCCTCAAAAAAACAAAACAAAACAAAAAAACCCACTTCAAATGGGAGAAATCCTGGTTTGTAGAGAAGTTGAAAGCAGCCTGATGCTGGGTTATAGAAGTTTGTAGAGAAGCTGAACAGAGAAATTTAGAAGTAGAGAAAGGGAAGTTCAGCCTAAAAATTCTTGTTATATCAAGATCAGCTGTTGTTATGTGGGGGTGTTGACGAGGGAAAGAGGCAGGACAGGATGAAAACAAAAGCAATTATTTGGGGTCTTAGAATTTCAAATTCTAGGTACATGGTTTTGGGCAGCAACCCAAATATTGTCTCCCTAGGGAGTGAAGCTCTGGGGGTTTTAAAGACAAAATGTGAAGGGTTGTATATGTTGTTTACAAAGAATTTTGGTTGGTGTTGGCGGCAGAAAACTAATCTTCGTTAAACATAATTGGTTGCTAAGGTCCTCTCTGAGCAGAAGTCAGTTATGTAGGAAGTTATAGGTGTTAATGCAGAATCCTTAGAGCGTTTGCTGTATGGCTTAGTTCAGAAGTTCACGGTTCCATCGGGTGAGAATGTGCATAAGGCCCACTTCCTAAATGGCGGTCCAGTTCCATTTAAAAACCCTTGACATAAATGACACCATTTCATTTCATCTTTCACAGGGGGACACGGCCAGTTCCCAGGTCTTGAGTGGACATTTGCTTCGCTAGAAGGAAATGGGGTTCAGGAGGCAGACACCCATTGCAGATGGAGAATTGAGAGAGAATAAGCACACAGTGGGAGGGGGTAGGGTACCAGTTCAGCAAGCGAATGGTGACAAAACCATCTAGGAGAAAAGACAAGTATTCAAATACTTCAGGGGCTGATGACAAGCAGCAATTTGCTTTTTCTAGAACTTTCTTTGCTTGGTTTTCAAGACCTGCCATCCTTATCCCCTGGTAACTCCTTCCCAGTCTCCCCAGGGTTGAAGAACAGGCTGAGCAGGTCTCACATATTGCTGATAATTAAGTAAATTCTTGAAAGAAATCCAGAAATGGCCAGATAAAACTTCCACTATAAATAAATGATTTCCGTTTCCCTCTATTTCTTGGAAAATGATAATGCGAGGAAAAAGATAAACTGCTCAGTTCTGGAATCTCAAACTCTGGGGAAAGGAGGGTGCTGATATTAGCTGTGGCTTGGGGTGAGACTCCCTGGGGCCATGGGCCACCACTGCGTGGCTGAGAGCTGTGGCTGGCCCTTCCGTGTCATCCCTGCCTCCCCTACTGGGGTCCAGGGTGGTTTGGGCTGGATGATTCGCGCCACCTGCAGGTAGAAAGCTGGCGTCAGGGGGAAATACCTGCGTTCTGCAGTATTACCCAGCAGGAGTAAAGCCCAGGCAGTAACCTCTCTTTGGCCTGGCTTTGGTTCTCTTAGAAGATAACGTGTAAGGTCCAGTCCTGCAGGGAAAGCAGCTCTAATTTAGGCTGCGTCTGAGACCACATCACCTCCTTCACAGAGCAAACAGAAGCCATCAGAGAGAAGTCCCATAACTTCTCAACAGCGGTCATTCAGAATCACCTGCTTCTGCTCTCCATCTCCGCCTCATTTCCAGGGCAGTGGGATAGTTGTTCCCGCCCCACGGTTCATGCCTCCAGAAAGCCTTCCCACCTCCTCCCACAACCTGCACCTTCCCTCTGCCCTTCACTTTGTTCCACCAGTATTCAAACATGCCTCAGACTCTTACATCCTAAAAATATCTTAAAAGCCAGAAAACAGAAACAACAGCTATACTGATGCCCAACTCCTTTTGCCCCGTCACAGTCATGCTTCTGGAAAGAGCTGACTATGCTTGCCTGCCTCCACTTCCTTCCCTTCCTTCCAGACCTCTGTCCACTGCCAGGTCCCTCTCCTCCCTCCCCACAGGGAGACAGTGCTTGCGGGTTCGAAGCCGGAGACACCTTCTCTCACATGATGAATTGGTAGTGTTTGAATGAAAGCTGCTCCTTCCCACTTGAAACACTCTTTTATGACAGGTCAAAGACACGTACATTCCTAGCCTCTCCCACGTTTCTGGCCACATCTCAGTTCTCCCGTCTGGTGGATGCCACTGTTACCGAGCCAGTCGCTCCAAACGTCCATGGATAACCATGGAGGCATACTTGAGCATCTTTGCTCCCTGTCCACATCTTTCAGCAAGTCCTGCAGTTCTGCCTTCAGTACCGATTTGGAATCTCACTCATTCTCAGAAGGTTCTCCTCTGGTCTCAGCCACTGGGGACACTACGGTAGCCACATGGCTGATCTCCCTCCTCTGCTCTAGCTACTACACAGCAACCAGAGTGATTCTGTACCAGTCAGTTACATTATGGAAACCGCTCTCTCTTCTCAGCCCTCCAAGATTATCCTCTGTCTAAATTAATAAAGGGAAACCTCATTAAATGGAACCGGGAGGCCAGAAGGTAGAGCGCTCATGCCATACCCCTCCATGTCAATCACAGGAAGAATCGACTATTATCGACCCCAACAGAAGAATCCTCAGGTGGAGAGTGTCATCAGTGACAAGCCCAAAGAGGAAGGAACTCAATTACCCTAGACTCAGCCAATGAGAAACTGCCATCACCCAGAACTCTCGGTTTTCTCCAGTAGAATTTCGTTGAAAATAACCCCTCCCAACTTCCTCCTGTTAGCGCTCAGCTTTGTTTGTTGGACTAACTGATTTTTTTTTTTTTACAGTAGTTTGCTACTTGTCCGAAATTGCAATTTTCTGCTAGTCCCAAAGAAACCCATTTTTGCTGGTAAAATAGCTGACTTTTACTTTTAGCGCCAACATCCCCATCATCTTTAGCGGTCAGGTTACATGTCACCTCCCCATAAATTCTCCCTGAGCTCGAACACCCAAGCCCCTCCTGATTTGTTCCAGGACCACCTGTATATTCCCTCCAAGAGCACTTACTCCACCGTGTCCCCACAGCGTTGTGAGCTCAATGAGGGAAGAAACTGTGTTTGTTGAATCAATCCCAGGCGCAGGGAACCTAGTAAATATTCCATAAAGAACTGTGAATTACCACTTCTCACCCCCTTTCCATATTTTTGGACGTATAATAGTAACAGATCAGGAACAAAATGCAAAAGAAAAAAAAAAAAAAAAAAGCCAGATACAATTCTGATCATTACTTGGGGACTTCTTTCTACATGTAAAGAATCACAGTTTGCGGAGCCATTTTATTTTCTTGTAAAACGTTGCCCTGCGGCAAAAGTGAAGTTGTCTTTGTGTTTGCAGCAGGTGTTGTGCGCGGTCAAATACGCTGATTTCAGCTGTCATTTGGGGGACGAGGGGCACGCGGTGCCCGAGCTTAGGGACCCAAGTGCACAAACGGCGCAAGACCAGTTGATTGGAGTGGCGACGACCAACCAGCCCTCGCCGTGGGCCAGAGCTGAAGGTGAGGAACTGCGGCGTGGGGGTGCGGGGTGACTAGTTCGAGGCCGGCACAGCTATTTACAGCTGTCGGCAGAAACTAATGCCAAGGGAGGAGTTTTCTAGGAAAGCGAAACCGAAACTTAAAGGGACAAAGTTTGCCGCACTCAGTGGGGCAGGTGGAGCCCCGGGGGCAGGGGAGCGGAGCTGAGGATGGCTGCGCCCGGCTCCTTCCCCCTGCGGGTGGAAGGGTCCTGGGGCCCCGACCCCCCCGAAGAACTTGAGCACCAAGTTGCAGATGTACTTCCAGAGCGCGAGGAGATCCGGAGGCGGAGAGTGTGAGGTCCGCCAGGAGCCGGGCACCGCGACCCGCTTCCTGGCGTTCTTCCATCTAGACGCTGGTGAGGGGTGCAAGGGTGGGGGTGAGAGGGACAACCGGGGTCTTCCCGCGGGGGGGGTACCTTGGAACCCGCCGGGCTCCTGCTGCAGCCTTAGGGGAGGGAGGGCGCGCGAGGGGCGAGAAGCACTCCCACGTGCTGCCGGAAGGTGGCGGCAGAACCGCGCCAGTGAGTTCTGACGCCGACCCGCGGCAGACGGAAAGGAGCTGATAGGCTGCTTGCTTCACCTCCTTTTACGAGGCTGCCTGCCTGGAGCCTTAGCGGCCGAGTTGTTCCGTTGCAGTTGTTCTTCATTCTGTTAAAGCAGCTGTTCAGAACTCCAAAGGTTGAACTCCAAAGGTTCCCTCACAGTTGTAAGGGAAGAGAAAGTTTCCAGGGAGAGTCACATCTCAACTGACTCCTGAGGGCCAGTTGTGTTGCTGACGGGGCGGGACAGGTGTTGGGGCCGGGAGTGCACAGGACATCTTCAGCAACACGCAGGGCGCCCTCAGGGAGGTTTGGGTTGAGTGATGACTTTGCTCATCTCCGAGTACAAGCAAGATCTGCCGACGGGGGCCTGGGAAATTTCAAAAGGCCAAGAGGGGCGGGGGACGCCTATATTTTAAAGATCTTAGGCATTCTGTTATTAAACCTCTTTCTTGTGAAGTGCTGGGGAGGAAGTTAACGCTAAGAAAAAGTTGGGTTGAGATGGTAGAGGGCCTTGAATGACACCATGAGGACTACGAACCCCCCCCCCCCCCCGCTCGCATAGGCAGAGGAGAGACATGTCCAAGTACACCTTAGGGAGATAAATCTGGTTGAAAATAAGTACCTTGACTTCTGTTGGGAGAGACCCTGGAAATCACAACTTTTAGGAGATTCATGTCATGTCTTAGGTGAGGACAATTGAGTCCTTGAGCAATGAAAATCAGCGTGGGGCTGGAAGATACGTATTCCTGTACTGTTCTGGATTTGGTAACTGAGGTCAACAATGCTCTGAGAGAGAGGGACAGAGAGGTAGGGAGAGGGAGAGGCCCCCTTTCCCTCAGTTATTTTTTTTGGTGGGGGACAAAAGGTATTAAGGAATGTGAGGAGTTACGGGGATTTTCCCACAGGTCCTGAGGTTCCTCATGTTTCTGGGGTCACTTGGAGGAGGTGCAAAATTGCTTCCTAAAAGCACGTTGGGTGTAAATATAGAAAGTTACTGGAGGGCTGTGTGCTGTTGGTGAACACCCGGAATCTTTGCTGGGGGTGCGCTGGTACCTCTTCCCTCGGTGTCAGGGTGGTTCTTGAACTGGGGGCAGGGGTGACATTCTGAGTTGATGTGGGTTGGAAGTTTTGAGCCCCCCCTTGCAGGCGGTTGAGCGGCTGAGTTCCCCACCCTCCTTGCTTTTGCCTTTAGGAGAGGGAAGATAAGTACCCACCCAATTATTATCTGCTGGGTCCAGACACCGCCAGATCTGTAGTGAGAGGCCTGTGAGCTGCTGTTCCCAGAGGGTGTCCTTTTTCCTTTGGAATCTCATAGGAAAGGATGTGGACAACCCCTGATCCTACCTTCCTGCTGCTGGATTTAGAGAAGCATTTGAGCCAAAGGAGAGGCAATGCGGCTAACCTGAGAGAAACTGGAATGCTCTAGGCAGAGATCCAGAAGGGAAAGAATGAAACCCAGGGAGGAGAAGGGTCCACAGCTAAGTATGTTGAAGGGGAGGCCAGTTGGGGACAGGAGACCTACTAGGCTCAGAGCCCTTATGAAAACGAAGTACCAGGTTTTCCAAGGACTAATTTCACCGAGGAACGCTCAGAAGGGCTGCTGTGCAATGTCAGCCATTTCCCCTGGATTTCATTTTCTTCAAGGAGTTTTACCACTTTGATTGCCAGCTGTCAACATCATAGGGGCTTGGCCCTTAGGGACACTTACTTCTTCTTTAGAATCCCATTATCTTCCCCGGTAGTTCTCAAATTGGGGGCACAGACCTCTCTGTATCTGACTCACAACAGACTAATCAGACCCAGTCCCGGCAGCCTCAGAGATTTTGGAACCCGGGGTGCGGGAGAGTAGGAATCTGTGTGTTTAACCAGCACCATGGTGACTCTGGTGTGCTAAAGTTTAGGAAACCCTGTTGTTTGTTGCAAACACTGAGTGAAAAAGAAAAGGGAAATAATAGAAAATACAAACAGCATAAAAATACCAGCAGCGCAAAGTACACTTTTGTGTTGATGATGTCCTTCTGTTCTAGTCCTGAACGCAGAAATGGTTGCTCCTTCCTCTCATCGCCCAGCCCACCTCCCCCTACCTCCATCCCCAGGCTGCTCCAGCGACCTCTGTTATGGTACCCCCAGCACAGATGACTCAGACTTAGAACAACTCAAAACCTTTTATGGACAAGGATCCTGGGAGGGGGGGTGGCAGGAAGTGCCTATTCAGTTTCAGTTTCCTACCAGAGAAGCTATTGCCCCAGCACAATGTGGCCAGAAATTTGCTAACAGTGATCCTCGTTCTCCAGCAGGGATTCCCTCCCCCCACCCCCTCCCACGAGGAAGTGGCTTTACCAGGTGGGCCACCGTATAGTGCGTTCTTCATATGATTCATGTAGTTAGAATGAGCCCAGCAGCACTGCTGTGTAGAAATAAGAGTATAGCTGGGCTGCCTGGGTGGCTCAATCGGTTAAGCGTCTGCCTTCCGCTCAGGGCATGATCCTGGGGTCCTGGGATCCAGCCCCAAATGGGCTCTCTGCTCAGCAGGGAGCCTGATTCTCTCTCTCTTCCTCTGCCTTCCACTGTTCATGCTCTCTCTCCTTCTCAAAAAATAAATAAAATCTTCAAAAAAAAAAAAAAGAAAAGAAAAGAAATTAGTGTATGGCAAACAGAAGTATTTGGAAGCTGTATCTTTCTCTTAAATAGTTCACTCAGTTTCTTCGAAATCCAGTGTACATTGACTTAGAAGACGTTAAGCCCTGTTTTAGATGTGTGCTTTTATCCTCCTTTCGGGTCATAACTTGGCTTCTGTTGATTGTCCGTCTCTTTGGGATAAGGGAATCCATCTCCTCTTTAGGTAAAGTTGAATGTCAGTGGTCTGAGGTTGGTGCAGAAGGGAGACTGTCCACATGGGGAGGGGTGGCTGGACGTCAGAGTTTCAGCTCTTTTTCCTTCCAGATTCACCTTGTCTTGGTTGCGGGTCACTTACCCCTATTGCTACTGTCTGCTCTCTTGAAATCCTGGTGCCCTGCGTGATTGTGCACGATCTCAGATCTTTTGCGTTTAGATGCCTGGATAAGACTCTCCCAAAGTCTAGGGGGATTATAAAAGGAATGCATCACAGAAGCCCACGACTCTAGACCAGTTGGCTTACAAAACTTGGCTGGTTCTCAGGCTTTAGGGGTCTTATTCAGTCCTCAGTCCTCCCACTAGCTTAGGCCAGCCCCTCAGGAGTCCGTGTGAAAACATCTGCTATCTCGTAAAGAGTGAAAGTAGAGTCTGGTGTTCCTTCTCATATTGTTTCTGGGGCCTGTTTCTAAGTTAGCATCCGGTGAAGGCCTCACTTCTCCTACCCTTTCATGGATGAGTGAGGTGGGAAAGCTCTTCCAACTCCTTCTTAGGGAAGATTCCCTATCTCCTCCGCCTCTCATACCATCCGCACCGGAATGCAGCACGGAGCCCAGCATTCACGTCAGAGTCACGGCTGGGAGCAGCTGGGCACTCTCAAAGGTTCACCTTCACCCTGAACTCTTCGCACCCTCTGTGTTGACCACGCCTCCTCCTCTAAACTTACTCACCACCACTTCTCCATGGCCTGGGATACACTGATTTCCCTTTTCTCTCTCTGGCTGCTCCTGCTTGTAATTATAAATTTACGTTTGCATAGCCCTTGTGGGTGTTATAAAACTCATTCGCAGACACCTTTTAAGGGAGGAAACTGACTCAAGAAGTTAAGGTAGTTTCTCAATGTCACTCATCTAGTTTTTTGGCAGAGTTGGAATTCAAATCCCAGTCTTTGGACTCTTATGTTCACTGTTTAGTTTTTTCACTACAACCCAGCTGCCTGCTATGCTAATTCTTTTTTTTTTTTTTTTTAATCTCTCCCATCCCTTCTTTTCTACTCCATTGATTATTGGATGTCAGGCTCTTACCATCCTAGGTTAAAGAGTGAACGAAATACCTTTTTCACTAGGCTCCTAGCCATTGTGCTCATGGTCACTCAAATCACCTTCCTAAAGCTCAGCTTTTTTTTTTTAAGGTTTTATTTATTTATTTGACAAGAGAGACACAGCAAGAGAGGGAACACAAGCAGGGGGAGTGGCAGAGGGAGAAGCAGGCTTCCTATGGAGCAGGGACCCCGATCCAGGGTTTGATCCCATGACCCTGGGATCATGACCTGAGCCGAAGGCAGATGCTTAACTGACTGAGCCACCCAGAAACACAGCTAAGTCCCTGAAACATAGCTTTCATCATGCCTTTTCCCAGCACCCAGTCTTCACTGTTCATCATGAGACATGCTTTGATTATTTCTCTTCACTTGTAGAATAAATATTGTTACCTTTGTTAGTACCTACTAAGCATTATATACTGTACGAAGTCCTTTATAATGTTTGTCAATTTAATCGATGTAACACCTATATAAGACAGTGTTCATTAATTATTTGCTAATAGACAAGAAGACTGAGGCTTTGCAAGTAAGACTTACTAAGGAACATTCCCAAGGGTTAAAAAAAAATAATAGTAAGGGTAAAGATGGGGTTGAAACCCATGTCTGCTTGCTAAACTTTTTATCTTTTCACCATGTAAGGACTTGCTTGGGAAACTGACCAAGCCATTGATTGAAAATGATGAAGCCCTATGGAAATCATGGAGTAATTTGGTGAATAAAGATTGCTTGACAGTTTCTTTCTTTCTTTCTTTCTTTCTTTCTTTCTTTCGCTTGTTTCAGTTCGGCAAAGAGTTCTGGAGACTAAGAACCATGAGTTGCTATGGCCAGGCATAGGAACATTCCAGTTAACTGTCCAGTTGCCCACAGCCCCAGAGGAAGTCCAGGATGTCTTAGAGGGGGACATTCCAGCAAAGGTAAGTGAAGGCGTGAGTAAAGGGCAGCAGGGTGTTCTGCCAGGGTGTGTGGGAAGGAAATCACAATATGGAGAAGATAGTGGGATGAGAAGTATAAATCAAATTGGAATAGAAAGCACCTGATAGATGTGGAGGGCATGAAAGCAGTCATGAGGAAGATATGGGAAAATTAAGGATGGGGGCACTTTTTGTTTGATTTTATACGCGTTCTGAAAAGTCTGAATTTACAGGTTATAATAAGGGTGGTTTGAGATGTAAATTTTTGGGCTTGGGTGATTTTAACCTGGAATTCACTCTGTTTTATTTGTACATCATTTTGAGGGGACAGCGACCCATACTACCTGTGCTGTCTCCTCGACTGTAAAATGGGACAGTAATCCAACCCTCGTTGGGTTGGTGGATCGTTGTGAGGATTAAATGAGACAATCTCTGTAAAGCAGAAGGCAAGGTGCTTGTTAATAGTAAACAATAAATGTTAAATGGGGAAAAGATTTAGGTCTTATCCCATCCCCCAGGCGCTTGGTGTTAATTGGGGTTTCAGTTATTTGTGACTTGTTTTTACCCATGATTCTTGGGCAAAGTAGATGCAACTCCATGTGAGGTGCGTTCAGTAGCATAAGTGCCAGAGCTCTTGATGATTGTTTCTGTGGACCCGATGTCTCCAGGTCCATCCCAGGGACAGCTTCTCAATGTAAAGAAATTATCAGTCATTTCTTGATGCTACTCTATTGTTTATTGGATTTCAGGAATCAGAGACCAAAGCACATATCCAAGAACCAGGTAAGGGGAAAGAAACAATATGACTGATCTTCGCCAGCAGTTTTGCTTTCATTAAAGATGGCACTGGCAGGGCTCATAATAGTTCTGTTCTTGACTTCACAAAGCAGCGTGTGCTCAGCCTAGAGATGCCATCTGCGTCCTCGCAGCCAGCTGTGCTGAGGGTGAGCATGGGGGGAGCCCCCCCGAGATCTTCAGGCTCAGGTCCAAAGGATGGGAACAGCTCTCTCTGTGGGGACTGGGGACACCTTGCAATTGAAGGGAGGCAAAGAGGTGCCTGGGAAACGGGAATAAATTGACTCATATTGCCCACCTGTGCCCAGCCAGCCATCAAGAAGCAAGGACGTATTGCGTCAGTGTGTCCTGTGTGGCTCAATTAGTTTCTGAGCACTGGATCTGGAGGGTGCCGTCCTCTGGGACCACAACAGGAGGGTGGGCAAAAGCTTCTAAGTGCTGAGTGCAGGATGTGGGTGCAGCAGCTCCTCTCATCCCATCTGCTGTAGGAAACAGCCTGCCACCTCGCAACTCTTGTGGCCTCTGCTGCTTCCCTAGTGTCTGGGTGTTGGCCTATAGTACCAACTGTCAGTTCCTGAAGAAGCAGCTTGTTTTCCTGGCTAAGCATCCTCTTGTAAGGGGGTTGGGGGAGATGGTGACCTGGGCTGAATGGCTGGGGAACAGAGTTGAAGTGATTATGTATATCCAAATCTTAGGGAAATGGAATTTCAAAAAAATGTGTAAATTATTATCTTCTAAAATTGACACTGTCTTGAGAACATGTTTCGATTTTTGCAACTTTCTCTTTTCAAAATGGCAGTTGGCTTTACTTGGCAAACCCACTGGACAGGGATGCATGGATTGTTTTTACCTAACATGGAGGCACTATTCAGCTGTAGAATATAGGATGTGTGGTTTTCTTAAGCTCATGATTCCATGATTCAGGACACCTGGGTGGCTCAGTCAGTTAAGCGTCTGCCTTTGGCTTAGGCCGTGATCCCAGGGTTGTGGGATTGAGTCCTGCATCAGGCTCCCTGCTCAGCGAGGAGCCTGCTTCTCCCTCTGCCTGCTGCTCCCCTGCTTGTTTTCTCTCTCTCCCTCTATGACAAATAAATAAATCTAGAAGGAAAAAAAAATCTCATGATTGTTATAAGAACTATTTGTCTGTTTGGAATAACTCCTGCTTTCTGTTCTTCAGATATGGACCAAGCTCACGTAACTCCCAGTGTTCATGGGGACCCCCTGAATCCTTATCTATTCTTTAAAAAAATTTTTTTTATTAACATATAATGTATTATTTGCCCCAGGGGTACAGGTTTGTGACTTGTGCAGCTTACACACTTCACAGCACTCACCATATCATATACCCTCCCCGATGTCCATAACCCAATCACCCTCTCCACAGTCCCCCTCCCCCCAGCAACCCTCAGTTTGTTTTGTGAGATTAAGAGTCTGTTATGGTTTGTCTCCCTCCCAATCCCATCTTGTTTCATTTTTTCCTTACCTATCCCCCAACACCCCCGAACTCTGCCTCTCAACTTCCTCATATCAGGGAGATCATATGATAATTGTTTTTCTCTGATTAACTTATTTTGCTCAGCCTAATACCTCTAGTTCCATTCACGTCATTGCAAATGGCAAGATTTCATTTCTTTTGATGGCTGCATAGTATTCCATTGTATATATATATGCCACATCTTCTTTATCCATTCATCTGTTGATGGACATCTAGGTTCTTTCCATAGTTTGGCTATTGTGGACATTGCTGCTATAAACATTGGGATACACATGCCCCTTCAGATCACTACATTTGTATCTTTAGGGTAAATACCCAGTAGTGCGATTGCTGGGTCTTAGGGTAGCTCTATTTTCAACTTTTTGAGGAACCTCCATGTTATTTTCCAGAGTGGCTGCACCAGCTTGCTTTCCCACCAACAGTGTAAGAGGGTTGCCCTTTCTCTGCATCCTTGCCAGCATCTGTCGTTTCCTGACTTGTTAATTTTAGCCATTCTGACTGGAGTGAGGTGGTATCTTATTGTGGTTTTGATTTGTATTTCCCTGATGCCGAGTGATGTGGAGCACTTTTTCATGTGTCTGTTGGCTATCTGGATGTCTTCTTTGCAGAAATGTCTTGTTCTCTGCCCATTTCTTGATTGGGTTATTTGTTCTTTGGGTGTTGAGTTTGATAAGTTCTTTATAGATTTTGGATACTAGCCTTTTATCTGGTATGTCATTTGCAAATATCTTCTCCCATTCTGTCAGTTGTCTTTTTG